CCTCTGTATCCTTCCTGGCTTCTGCCCCCTCTGATACTGTCTCTATTAGTAGAGGCCTCTATTCCTGATGGTGCGGCGTACCCCACCTAGATTCCGAGCCAGAGTGTCTGCTGCTGACCTGCCACTGCCTTGAACTTGAGTTCCCTCTTTTCTCATCCCAAGGCTTTCTCAGTCTTTCTCTGTGTCTCACTTGTGTGTATGTGTGTGTGTGTGTGTTGGAAATTTTTAGGCTCTTTGCACATGCACACAACCTGTGAAGAGTAACCAATTTTAACTCAGTCTGAGAACCTTCCTTCACCAGAGTTTTATTTCTCCTTTTCCAGGTTACATGGGTACAAAACTTACAACAGGGATTCTCTTAGAGGCTTCTGTTCTCCTCCATTCCCTCCCCAAAAAAGGATGCCCTGAAAGAGAACTGTCAGCCCATAGGCACTTGGATTCCTTTTATCCAGCTGACATTCTCCTGCCCCACCTCCTTACCAGTTTAATAACAAGATATGCAGAAAGCCTGGCCCCTGTCTCTGAGCTCTGCCTCTCTCCTTACCCTAGACTTCTTTCCCCCTTCCTCCCTAAGTACGTGAGAATTCCTATATTGGCTCTATCAGTTAGGATCCATATTTTGCTCTTGTTTTTTTCACAGGGAATTTTTGGAAAACTTTAAACAACTTTTCACTCTCAAATTCTGTCATTCAAAGTTGTTGTCTCACTAGGTAAGCTGATTAAGAGCCCCTTTGTTCTAGATAGTAGCTGACCTCCCCACTTGCATACTGGAATCTACAAAGGGTGAGACCTCCAGGAACTCCTAACTGAGAAGAAGAGTACACAGCATCAAGAGGAATTATGTCACAGTGTGACATACTGAAGATGTGTAGGCTAGCACAGGTTATTCCACGGGCTTCCATTCCTTACCTCCAAGCCCAGTTCCTACTCTCAAGTTAGAATACTCTCTCTCCATTATGTGTATATACTGTATAGCCTATCCTACAGAAAGGAGTAGATTCTCCCAATGAGGAACTTCTCATTCAGAATCTCTTCTTGACTCTAGGAATTTGTGATATGTACACTTCCTGAATTTTCTCCTTATATTCTGCTTGTGGAGGAGGCAGGCATGGAATCTCATGCCATTTTAATACAATATGGTCAATTTTATTTTATGATTAGGAACAGTATTTTATGGGAGAGAAGGCATGCCTAAGTTTGCCTAGAAGTGTCAAAGAGGGCTTCCCAGAGGAATGAAGCCCAAGTTAGGGATTAAATATTAATTATAGTCTTTTATGAATAAGATGGGAAGTATATTTTTGAAAGAGCAAAGCTCAATGAAGAGCAAGACCTTGTCTATCAGACTGACCATTGTGTCCCTATCACCCAGCACAGAATTTGGCATCCTATACATACTTAAATATTTAGTGGATAAATGGATGAATGACTATATCTTGAGGGCCATCAAAATTGGTTATTTTGAATATGGGTACAACATGATGAGATTTGTGTTTTATAAAAAATAATACGGCAGCATTGTAATGAATGAAATGGGAATGAGACAGGGAGCAACTGTTGTCCCATGTTCTATGAAAGCTCCTGGGAGATTCCTTTTAAGTGACCTCTAACCTTTCTCTAGGTACTTAGAGTCTGTCACTCTGCACTGAACATATGCTAGTTTCCCACGTATGCCTCAAGAAGGCATGGACACTGACTGCTCCCACCCCTTAAGATGGCCCAAGAAAACCTAGAGATAAAGCACAGCATCTTTTAAGTTACTTTCTCAACACCTTCCATATAGGAGATAGAGAGTTGAGGTTTCAAGTGATCTATTTTATAGGCAATAAATACATTTTTGTCATAGTCCATATGGGCTGCTATAATAAAAATACCATAAAGTGAGGGGCTTATAAACAACAGAAATTTATTTCTCACCGTTATGGCGGCTGGGAAGCATGTAATCAGGGCACCCGCACATTGCTGTCTGGAGAGAGCCTGCTTCCTAGATAGCCATCTTTCCACTGTAATTTCACAGGGTAGGAGAAGTCGGGAGTTCTCTGGGGTCTCTTTGATAAGAGGGCTAATCCCATCCATGAGGGCTCCACCCTCCTGAACTAATCACCTCCCAAAGCCCCACCTCCTAAACCCATTTCGTAGGTTTTAGCATATGAAATTTGGAGGGCACAGACATTCAATGTAGAGCTTCTGGCATACATCGCATCTTTTCTGTATTTCTTGTTCAGAGTGGGTCAATGAATTTTCAGCTTTGGCCATGGTAACCTGGGGTCTACATGAATCCGAGCACATAACTGACACTTGTTTTCAGAGCAAGACTGAAGAGAGGTCAGTAAAATACGTGCAGTTTTGTTCCCATGGGTATTCATTTTATGATGGTGTGTCAAATTATTAAAAACTTTAGTGGCTTAAAATAAGGCCCACTCACTAGCTTGGAGTTCTCCAGGTTGAGTCTGGTACGGTGTGGCTTTCTCTGCCCAGAGAAGCACGGGAGGAAATCAAGGTTGGCCTGACTGAGTTCTTACATGCACTCCTGAGGAAAAAAATTTGCTTCCAAACCCATTCTTGTTGGTAGAATTCGGCTCTTTGTGGTTGTAGAGCTGAGGTCCCTGTTACCTTGCTGGCCGTCAGCTTGGGGTTGTCCATAGCTGCCAGAGGCTCTGGAGTGCTCCCCAGTGTGTCAAAGCCTCTTTATGATTCAAATCTTTATTTCCCTCTGTCTTTGATCTCTAGATCAAGATTTAAGGGTTAAGTCTAACCAGATAGTTCCTGTTTTAAAGTGTATAATATAGGGGCACCTGGGTGGCTCAGTGGGTTAAAGCCTCTGCCTTTGGCTCAGGTCATGGTCTCAGGGTCCTGGGATTGAGCCCTGCATTGGGCTCTCTGCTTGGCAGAGAGCCTGCTTCCCCCTTTCTCTGCCTGCCTCTCCGCCTACGTGTGATTTCTGTCAAATAAATAAATAAAATCTTTTTTTAAAAAAGTGTATAATATAACCAGTTTAGGAGAGTAAAATTCATGATATTCACATTTCTAGGGACTATGCAGAGCATGTTTCCCAATTAGGAGAATTTGGGAGGAGCTTCTTAAATTCAACCTACCAAACTTTAATTTATAACATTAAAAAGAAAAACACCCAAGTTGTGAACAGAGTCTTGCAGAGTGCTATCTAAGCACTTTGGAAAAGCAAAAATAAAAGTATGATTTAATTAACATTTTGTTTGAAAACCAGCACATCTTTTAATGAAGTTAATTTTCTAATATCTGACCTTGACAGGTCTACTATTACTAATCTTTAGAAATTTTACTTGTTTGTGACTCATTCACTTCTGAATATTTCTACCATTCACATTACCAAAGCGAAACAAAACATTTCTATATTTATTACTGGGGTGTGGCAATGGGGGTGGTTTTCATTGTTTGTGCAAGGAAAAATAAAACAATGCCATATAATCTATACATAAACATCATCACTTCAAAGTGATTTTTTTTAAAGATTTTATTTATTTATTTGACAGACAGAGATTATAAGTAGACAGAGAGGCAGGCAGAGAGAGAGAGGGAGGGGGAAGCAGGCTCACTGCTGAGCAGAGAGCCCGATGCGGGGCTCGATCCCAGGACCCTGAGATCATGACCTGAGCAGAAGGCAGAGGCTTTAACCCACTGAGCCACCCAGGCAACCCCAAAGTGATTTTTAATAGTAAGAGCTTTGTTAAGTTAACTTGAATGATAAAATAAAATATCTTTCAAAGTTTTGGGGATTTCAAGATTTAAATAAGGAAGTATAAGAGTTTAACTAACTATACAATTAGTCAACTACAAACACATTTCCCCACTTACTCTTCATTTCTGACACCAACTGCAAGTTTGAGGGGTTTCTAAAACACCTTTAGGTTTGACAACTTGCTAGAAGTATTCACTAAAACAGATTATACTCAAGGTTATAGTTTATTACATGGAAAGGATACAAATTAAAATCAGCCAGGGGAAAAAGTGTATAAAGCTGGGTCTCAAACTGATAAGTATAAGGCTAAGGCTGAGTCAAAATTTGAGGCTTAAAGAATCAACCACAGAGCTTTCATTGTCCTCTCCTCATAGAGTCAGATGCATTACTTCCCCAGCATCAATATGGCAGTATGCATGGAACTTTGTCAACTAGGGAAGTTCGCTTGAGCCTTTGGTGTCCAGAGTTATTAATGGGATGTGATCACATACTGCCCAAGTTTCTGACCTTTAGTCTCCAACCCCTCCTGGATGTCACTATTGGGTTGATACCTTTAGTCTCCAGTTCCTTCCAGAGGCAGAATTGGTACTGCGTGGCCCCAAGCCTCCATCCAAAATCACGGTTTGACTCTCCTGTGGCCAAAGCTCTTAGGCAAGCAAAGACACTCCTGCCAGACATGACATTTGGAAGACCTAGAGATCACCTCTTAGTAGCGAAAGACAAAGGCCAGCTCTTTCTTTGCATAAGTTTAACTCTTCACCACATAGAAAAGAAGGGAAAGAGAAATGAATGCAAATAGTCATTACCATTTATTGAAGGCATGTTGTATATCAGGCAGTGTGCTAAGCATTGTTTCCTTTAATTTTTGGACACCAATGATGCTGTAATTATTTTTCTTTTGAAAATAAGCTGAGATTTATAGATTAAGAGATTTACCCAAGACCATGTAAATAGTCAATGGTGGAACCAGAATTTAAGCCAACGACAGCCTAACTCGAAAGTACATGATTTTAAACACTTTGTTGCCTCCATCAAAGGACAATAAGAATATATAATGTAATAAGAATTTAGAAGCAATTATTCTTGAGAATTGTTTTCAGGACAAAGTTGTCATTCAAATATATAAGAATGTGCTCTGATAATTTAATAATGAAGGATATAGAGGAAGAAGATTGCTATATAGAATGGTTATATCATTGAATTCATACTTCCCAAGTGGATTCCCGTCAGCACTGCATCATTTAATTAATTCAAACACATTTATGGGGTATGCATTATATCTCAGGTGCTGTGCTGGACACTGGTGACCCAAAGATGATGACAAGTATGTTCCTGTCCATAAGGAGCTAGCGATTCACTGGGGTATGTAAACTGTTTATTATTTTTTAGTAATATGTTAGTTTTAAGCAGAACAGAGAGAGTGTAATATGTGAGAAATATTTTGCCTATGAATTTTGCAAGCATTTGTAACCATTTTTGGTTTTTTTTGGCTGGATGAGCTAATAATAAAGTTAGTAATTTAGAGATTGTTGTTCATATAACTAATCAAATATTTAAACTCAGCTTCAGTCTTTTAATATATTCTTTTAATAATAGGGTAGATTTTTAAAAAGTTTTACTTCCTTTGCCTTTGGGGGTGGGGGCATAGCATGGAGATTTGTCTGTATTTCCTACTTAGGATAGTACATGAGGGCAAGTGAAGGGAGAATAGGAATGTCACCATCTCACATCGCACATAAGAACAATGTGCTTTCTTCTTCACACTTGTAATGTTAATACTCCGCTTTTCATTGGTTACTTTAGGATCATTTTCACCTCTCATTTTCTCCTACTTCACTGATTTCTCTAATTGAGCCAAGTCCATATTGCGGTAAAATAGGATTCCTTATTTAGTTAATGGTGATTTTTGGCAAATATGTACTTTATTTAAGGTAAAGTTTATAATAGCCCGTGCTTACCATACACCATGCAGTGTGCTGGGAGTGGTCTTGAAGAAATAGTACAGTAAATGCAGTAATATAAATAAGAAATATTATATCCCAGTTATACTTTATATATTTTATAGCTTAATATAGAGGAATTGAATTAGAAAATAATAAATTTAAGCGAATTTGATGTCCAGTAGTTCATACTGCTGCTCCACAGCACTAACAACAATATATTTGGATCTACTTAGAACATATATTAATACGCTATCTAGATTAAGCATTGTAAGTGCTGAGAGTGCAGTTGGGATCATTTTAAAATGTGAGCAACCCAAGAAAAAAAGTCCCCCCTTTTTTTTTTTTTGCAATATGATTTTAATTTTTAAAAGCATTTAATTTTATAAACCATATCCATCATCTTTGCATAGATAAATGTTGTGGCAATTTTTTGAATGAACCTTTTGGTTCCCTAAAGAAATTATGGATACACTATAAATTTATAAATGAAAGGCCATTCATCAGAGTTATAAATATGAGTGATTCTTGTGCTGATGCCCATGTAAACTTAAAGTGGTTTAATATCTATTGGCTTTTGAGTATAGTTAGAACAGCAAAAGAATATAGATACTGTCATACTTACGTGGTGTCATAACATTGGCAAAATGGTGAGAACGACATGAAATATTTTTTGAATAGCATGGCATTTCCTTGAATTACTGCTGGCAATAGAACATAAATCAACCTTAATGATGGATATACCAAAGATGTTTATTAATCTATTTATTTAATCTGAAATACTCAGTCTTGGCATTTATAGAGCCAGTTCAAAGGAAGTGGCAAGTGCTTCTAAACCCCAACAGTTACTTTTAGGGGCCCCATAATTATGTCAGCTAAGTCTGGTTGGAATGGAGATTAAAATGCATAAAAATCCTTTCCTTCTAATCTATGCTAAAGATATTTGCTTGACTGAAATATGTTTTCTTATGTATGTCTAATAAAAATCTCAATTTGTTCTACTCCTGATAAAATTTATAACATGGCTCTCTATTTGAATCCTTAGTTTTTAATCTGCTTCCCTGCCTTCCCGCTCCCCCAAATTGGAAGACAATCCCGTACTCGTATACTTTGACAGAAAAGGACTGGAAAACTGATCAAATTCATGTGCACCAAATTAAGAAACAGCATATGGCACATGATTTTGGCAATATGTAATGAGACAGGTAGGATGGACATATATAAAGATACAGAGGGGAATTTTTATTAATAGTAAAGGTTATTAATGGTAAAGTACACTTATTAATAGTAAAGTATAGTAAAAGTCAGAGAAAGCCAGTAGCAATTAAGCTAAAGAAGGAAGGAGTCACCTGTGCATGTGTTGGGGAGTAAGATGATATGAATGTGCATGCAGGTACTTGTGTTATTTATTAAAATATGGAAAGTCTAGGCAAAGAGCTAACTTCTATATTAAAATAATGTAAGCAGCACTCAACTTCTCTCCATTTCTTAGCTTCCACTGAGACAGCTTCAGTCTTAGCTTCACTTGGGAACAAGATGGTAGCAATAGCATGGGCATCCTCTCATGGTTCATTCAGATCAAACAGGAAAAAGAGAGTCTCTTTCCCAGAAGCCTTATCAAAAGTCTCTTTGTACTAATTAGCTTTGATTAGATCACAGACTAATCCTGTGTACCTCTCTTGCAGCAAGAGATAGAGCCAGCTTTATCACGTTGCATGGACTAGGCATTGAGATGCCTAGAGGCATCTCTATGATGTCTCCCAGAGGGAAGGGGGGAACTTTTAATAGAAGGAGGGTGTATGGATGCTAGCTAGCAAAACAAACAAACAAATAATTGCTGTCAGAAGAAAAATCAGAATGGGTATGCACACATGAAATTTTGCATACATTTCCAGAAACCTGTAAATTTCTTAGCGATCCATGGATTCTAGATTAAGAAACTCTAAAAGTAACAATGAATCAATGCCTTCTGGAACAAACAAAAAACAGTATTGATAGCCATAGCCATCCAGGAAAATGTGTTTTTACTTAGACTGTTTCCTGAAAATAGACACAAAATGAATATAATCTATAACTAGTTGTTTAAATGATAAAATCAAATTAAGAATGAAAGAGAAGTTATATTTTCTTGTTAGCTAAAGTAGAAGTGAGTGGTTCACCTTGAAGATGTTTCTGTAACTACTATTGTGTATGAAGAAAAGAGGCAAAATCTTTTACTGAAGATAAAAACTTTAAACTGGCAACGTCAGAAGACTTCTATTAGGATAAAAAGACATTTTCCAATGTTTGTTCAACAACTTTTATTGCGATGGGGACCTGTGTTTATGTGCATCCTAAATCCCTTCAATTTAGTCAGTTCAGTTAAAAAAAAGTATTAATCAGAATAAAAGGCAGAGCATAAGGAATACAGTCAATTATATTGTAATAGTGATGGGAGGGGACAGATGCAGCCACACTTGTGGTGAACATGGTATAACGTATAAGCTTGTGAAATCACTAAACTATATACCTTAAACTAATGTAACATAGTGTGTCATCTACATTCAAATAAAAGAAATTTAAAAATAAATATTATTACTTGGAAAAAAGTATCAGGTCTATGAAAGTGATTTGTAAAGAATATCCTTTTGCTGATTGGCCCAAACTACCTGTTGATTTGCTTCTTTTTTTCCTTCCAGCAATACTTGTTTTAGAACATGTTGGTGATGTCAGTTGTTTCTTTTGAAATTATTTTAAATTGAGAAATCTTAGGAAAATTGGTAGAAAATATAGGTTGATCATTGGAAAATGTGGATACTGTAAAAATGCCTACATAGTGATTATGTACTTTTCATTAATATTGGTTAGAAAATAGTATTTTAATAATGTGGACAAAAACATAGCAACTGCCAGGGAAACAGTCATAAATATGCTTTATTTTTACCTAGATTTCTCAGTTTATTGACAAGCAGGAGTTAGGTTGGGATTCTGAGTTGCATCTCTGAACACAAGGGGAGTTTTTCTTTCTTTCTTTTTTTTTTTAAAAAGATTTTATTTATTTATTTGACAGGCAGAGATCACAAGTAGGCAGAGAGGCAGGCAGAGAGAGGAAGGGAAGCAGGCTCCCTGCTGTGCAGAGAGCCTGATGCGGGGCTCGATTCCAGGACCCTGGGATCACGACCTGAGCCTAAGGCAGCGGCTTAACCCACTGAGCCACCCAGGCGCCCAAGGGGAGTTTTTCTTAAGTGAGTCAAAATATTACTCAAAAATGGGAAGGAATTCCATGATTGCCTGATTTTTAAAAAAAAATTTTAATAAACATATAATGTATTTTTATCCCCAGGGGTACAGGTCTGTGAATTACCAGGTTTACATATTTCACAGCACTCATCATAGCACACACCCTCCCCAATGTCTTTATCCCCACCACTCTCTCCCGTCGCCCCTCCCCCCAGCAACACTCAGTCTGTTTTTGAGATTGAGTCTTTTATGGTTTGTCTCCCTCCCGATCCCATCTTCTTTCATTTTTTCTTTTCCTATCCCCCAAACCCCCCACATTACATCTCCACTTCCTCATATCAGGGAGGTCATATGATAGTTGTCTTTCTCCGATTGACTTATTTGGCTAAGCATAATACCCTCTAGTTTATCCATGTCATCACAAATATTGCCTGATATTTTTAAAGAATAAACATGTTAATTGAAGACAGGCTTACTGTGCCACCTTTTGTCTCTTTACACAAGCAAAAACACTGAGGGTTTAACACTCTTCCTCATAAATTGATAAGCTTTTTAACCCAAATCTTCTACTAGAGAGACTAAAGACTGAAAGAGATTCTTTACTGTTCCTTGTTATTCTCAGTTGTGAAGAAAGACATTATATTTTTCTCTATCAACTAATGTTACTGAAATGCTACAGCTGTTTTGGAGGGTGTCCACTTTTCAAAATATTTCTGCAAAGGCTATAATATATCTGGCTTTCCACACCAACATGTTATTTTTAAAAACCCCTCCTGAAAACCTCAGTTTACCACCAGTTCTGGCTTTAACTGAAAAGTTTGTTCTTGTTTGATCTGTTACCACTCCGTGTGTGTATGGTGTTTGTTTTGTTTGGCTTTCTAGATTACAGCATATCTTTACACAGTGCCAATTGTCTGTGGATAGGAAACAGCAGGTAGTTCATTCGTTGAAAGCTAGTTTACAAATTTTCTTGCTATACGTTTCTCTGTTTTTCAGATTCAATTTTAGATTTAACCGTGATAAGGAGTTGTTTCTCTCCATAGTCATATTTGTCATCAGTGGAGTTTGGAGAAATGGGTTTTCTTTTTTAAAGAACAAGCTTTAAAAATATTTAATTTAAAATGTTATTTTTCCATTTGGGCTAAAACTAGTCAGTGGATATTTTTAAGGCTGTGAGTTAAAGCAGGAAGAAAGGGTCACTCC